CGACGTCTATCTCTCTCTCTGATCTAAGTAAGGTTCTCTTCCTGCATACCCCCACGGCCTCGCTGTAACGGGAACGCGATTTGTAACGGGAACGCGATTTGTAACGGGAACGGTTTTTTTAACCGGTATTGTACTGGTACTTACTGACTATCTCCTCTGCCTATCCCAATCGTGTACTTTTTGTGCGAGGGCCCTCCCGATGAGCCTCATCATGAGGGCCCTCGTTAGTTTCTCCAATGGGGAGGCCTCAATACACACAAAGATCTGAGGTAAAAACGTGACGTTTTAAGGGCTGAAAGGATTAATTTAGACGATGCTCACTAAATAATGAAGTAATTCCTGATATCGGCAGTTTAATAGTTAATTTACACGAAGGCTTTTTGTTTTTTGAGAGACTTTAGTGGGCGATTCTGTAGCTGAACTTGATTGGGCTACATGACATCCTCGGAGATACCGTTAGTACAAATACCGGTACTTCGTATTCAGAAGTCCTGAATCAGGACTCCTCAGTGAATCAGGACGTCTTTTCTGTCTGTGTATCGTTGCATTGTGCAGCATCATTAAAGAGTCCAAGATTGAGTTGAATGCTGCATGCTTTGTATTTGAGATAAAATACGAGCCTCCATTGAAAGGTATTAATACCACAGAGGTGCAGACACGAGGACACGCTGCGTTTTAAACTATTGCCATCGAAAAAACGCGCTGTCCTCGCCATCTGATAGATTTATTGCAATGACACACGCTCCGTACTGTAGAGTGTTCGTGTGAACAGTTCACGCGAGCTAATCTGAATTGGATGGCCGCATTGCACCACAATTGCATGTAAAGGCTCTACGAAGGTTACTCGAACTCTCTGGCAGAGATTTGAATGGCGTTAGTGCACCCTTAGCTACAACAACACGACAGGCTTGGAGCACCTTTAAGCCACTTGGGCGCCCTTAACTGCAAGCGTTAGGGCGCCCTAAAGCCTTGGGCGCCCTTATCGCTAAGAATAAATAACCGTATTTTAATAAGAAGAAGAAGACGAAAAGCACAAGTAGTAAAGGGAAAGCGATATATATATATTTATTGTTTAACAAAACCACGAATGGCTACAAGATTATTGTGGAAGCAGCATCTTACTAACCTCTTGGTCCGTCTTCTGCTTTTCCGTCAATTTTTTCCTTCATAGTATCCTGCATTCACATCAGCTTCATCCTCACTTTCCTCGCAGCTACCGTATTTCTCGTCATCCTGGATCAGTCCTGTTTCAATCGCGCGGTCCACGACAGCTATTTCCCTTACCACATAATATTAGTTGCAGCACATATTCACACAGCAACTGCGAAACGTACCATAGAAAACGCTCTCGCCTTCTTCGGAAGCGCCGCTTGATGGTTTAGAGTATGTCCACATGGTAGACAGACCTGTGGGGCGCTTTGATGTCCATCCTGCGGTCTTGAGCTGGCGCCACAAGTAGCCGAAGTCCACAAGACGCGCACCCAGCGAGGGTGCCGACGCTTCCGGAGAAGGTTTTATTCTTCGACTGGCTCGGACGGGCATCTCACTTGTGGCTGACGCAGTAAAAGCTTGAATGGCTAAAAATTCTCCGTCTTCTCTTCTGGGGACGAATCATTTGCTGACAGTTGGAAAGACGCAATATATCCCTTCCCCTGGGACAGCCTAGCTAAAACCTCTCCCGTCTTATATCCTTTCGCACCAAAAACAAACTTGATTTCAGTATTGGGTCGCGGTTTTGTTTTTTAAACCAGCTCCTGTTTGAGAGAACAATTAAGCCGTAGGTTATAACTTAAAAATTGGACTACGTCGTAACTTACGACTTCGGTAACAGGGGGGTTAATACATGTAGTACAGTACTGCACCCCGTTTTCGCGCCCTTGGACCTTTGATAAACTTTTGGACGTGATGATTCCGAATCCCCATGAACTAAAGTTTGTAAGGTAAAATCTGATTAATTAGCAAATCCTATATGGCCTCCACACCCGCGAAAATGAGGTACAGTACTGTACTTCGAAGCTGAGTCCGGCTTCGTTGCGTACATATCTTTTGGTTAGTGCTGTTTTGCCGGAGCCCGCAAATCTTTTGCTGGCGCCCCAAAGCGAAATGATTTGTTTGCTGAAGCCGTTTTGATTTTGCTGGCACCCTATCTTCTTTTGTTTTACTCCAAAAGGTGTTTGTTCGCACCCCGGTCTCTGTAAGTCTCAATCTGGAGGAGTGGCGTTAAAAGATCACGAATTTAGCGATTGCTCAGGCAAAGCATATCATTGTATTTATTATAGTCAAGACTTCATTTTTAGTCTTTAAAAGATGTATTGGTGGCAGATTGGCTAGCCTCAAGAGGTCTGCGTATAATAGTGGCTAGTAAGACGAGCGAGTACAGCATTCTGCGTGAATAGCAAACGCTCGATATATATTGCAGTCTGTAGTACATTGCTCAAAGCAGTTAGGAGCGAAAACAGTCTGTATTGATACAAGGTAACAAAGCGAATGGTTTTCGCGCTCACCTTCGACCACGCACCCTCGCACCACATCAATGCAGTAAGTAAATCCACTTTAAAAGGCTCGGCGTGTCCTTCTCCTTACGATCTAATGCATGCATCATTTTTTTGGGTTTTTTTTATAGAGTAGCCTTCTCCACTGGTTGCTTCAGTAGTGTAGCTGACGACTTGAGAATACAACACATGGTGGCTTTGCCGGGAGGGATTGGGAGACAGAACTCGTTTACGGCCCATTCAGCAATTGCCTCGTAGGACATAGTACGAGAGAGTGACCACCTTCTCGGCCCAGGTAAGGCGTAGCCGCTTCCTAGGATCGCGGGGCATGGCGGATTTGGTAGCTTAGTAACGGCGGGATGTGAAGGTACGTTAAACTACATGCGCATAGCACTTCTCCGGCCCACTTCAAAATGATGATTTCAGTTTTGGGCAAAAAAACTTTAACAAAAGCTAGCTGATAGACACATGACACACCACGTCA